ACTTAAAAACATAAGACTAGAATGACCTACTGACCTGAATGTTAGCTTAAAAAGCTCAAATCACATAGATATTTAAAATGCATAATGACTGTTTGGTAGACCCACTCATTTAAGACACATATTCTAGAGACAGACCATTACCTTCGACAAGGACTTCAGCTCCTTGACCTTCCTCTTCCATTTGAAGATGTTTCTACTATTCTCCCCCTCTGACTGAAAAAAATAAAGTAACAGCACACTTCAATTAAGATAGCAACAATCGAAAACAGATGTGCATTCTACAAAAGAAAAAAAGAAAATGCAGCTAACTTAGCCATCGAAGACTTTTGGAACAGTAGATATTCTGTAACGGTGAAAATTCCATTACATTATGATGCTAATTATGTTGTTCAGTTACATCAAATTCCATTTCCCATGAAAGTGAAAACAAATTAATGAAAAACGCAACTTTTATACATAACTAAACAGTAACGATAGGGCATTAAGAATAACCTCATGGATGTACTGAAATCGAACAATCAAGAACAACGAGAAACTCACATTTGTTCTGCATTAGGCCCATACTAGGCAAACTGAACCATAATCTCTCTTCCATCCACAACTCTCCCTCAAAAGGCACGAAAAATCAAATCCAACTCAATCAGTAAAATCAAACAAAATTCGGAAAAAAAAAATAAAGGACTAATTTAGGAGTCATGAAAAAAAATAATAATAATAACAATCGAGCTTGTCCACCGCCTTCTGTGCTTCATCTTGGTACTTATACCGTACAAAAGCAGACCCCCTCGATTCTCCAGTCCTGTATTCACCCCCCAAATCACAGAGAATACTAACAACATCACTCCATACAAACACAATAACATATGAAGGCATTACCTTCGGTCCCGAGGGATGAAGACGTCGACGACCTTGCCGTACCTGTCGAAGAGAGGAAAGAGGTCGTTGCGATGGTGCCTAAAGAATCAACAAAAAAAAAAAGAAAAAAAGAGTGAATGGAGAATAGGGAGGATGAGGTAAAATAGAGGCGGAGGGGAGGAGGAAGTACGGAAAGCAATGTTGAGGACGAGGAGGGAGTAAGTGTCTTTGATATCCGGGGGACCGGATTTGCCGAAGTGCGACATCTTTCTTGCGCCTGCTCCTGACTGAGAGTGCCGTTGTTTGGATTAGGGCTCGAATTTGAGGTTGGGGGTAAATAATCTCGCGTAATACTGACGTGTAAGTGTGTAACTGAGTAACTCTGTCAAAATAGGCGGCAATAATTTTAGACGAATATGACTTTTTTTTTCTTTTTTGGGTATGCCGTTCATCTTTTCCCGCCAAACAAAAAATCAGATTCCAAATATACATTAATTTTTGTTTCCTGCTCACTGGTTAGAGGAAGTCTGATGTCGCCCTGCGTATGGCAGACGTGATATCTCAAGCCAATTTAAAATCACAGCATTAGCATTTTTTTTTTGTTAATGAAGTGTGAAAAAAAATTAATGTCATATTTTTTCGATTAGTTTAAGATGTTACGTCTGTTATATCTCAGAGTTATAGTAAATTTTTTGTAATAGTTAAGAGTTAAAATGTTTGCATTTAAAATTTTAAATTTAAATTTTATAATAGGTATTGAGAAATTTAAAAATAAGAGAAATATTTTTTATTAACTAATGTTCAAAAAAAATTAATTTTTTAATAAAACAAGTTAACTAGTTAGAATTTAAAACCCTAGTAGAAAAAAAGAGAGTAGGAAGTTAGAATGGGATTTTGAACTCTTAACTGTACAAGTAATGAAGCACTTATATATTTAATTTAATCAATTATTTTACAAACCTTTCTCTTATTTTTATTAATTTTTGTACCTTTGTTTAATACAAGTGTTAGTTTAACCTTTTAATTTATAAGATAAAAAAACTTTATGGTAGTGAAAAAATTAAAACAATTTATAAATAGACAATTAAAAATCTTTTTATCAAATATAACCATTAAATAAAAACTATACGTATAAAAAAAATTAGTATCAAAGGCAACAATAAGATATATGTAGCCTCGCTTGTCCTTGACAAAAGGACTTAGCAAGTCTACCCCCTATTAAGCGAATGGCTAAGGAGAAGTGAGGGAAAACAACATCGTTCCTATAACAAAGGAAGACAATCTTTATTTGATGTGAAAATATGATTATTTAAATCAAAACGAGCTAGTGTATGGCACTTGGGCTTTTGGGTTCAATGGTATTAAGTTACGTTTAAGTGTATCTCTTCTTTTTCAGAAAACGATTTGAATCCGACCCTTACAAAATTGTTCAAAAAAAAAAAAAAAAAAGGAGTTGGTGTATGAATTATCTAGAATTCCTTGACTTTTTTGCCACGCGTTATCTAAAGCCATGTTCCATTACCTCGAAAAAATAGCTTCAAAGTGTGTTGTAAATGTTAATTTTTTAAAAGTTATTTTTATTTGATGATGTTAAAGTATAATACCATATACAATTAATTGTAAATTTATAATGGTATTAAATAAAATATGATGTGAATTAAACAAATAGATATATATTATATAATGAGTGAATTTTTAAATAAAAATGATTAATTATATAAAAATATATAATATTATAAGTTTATAATACCATATGACATTATAATTATAACAATTTTGATTTTCACTCCACTATTTTGATATGCAAAAGGAGTTGATTGGAAATATCTATGAGATACAATGAACCATGTTGATTGCATGTTGTACTAATGAAACTAACTACTAAATCTTACTTCTTCAAGCAGCAAAACCATCACTTTTTTTGAGAGTGCATCGTTAATTTCATCAAAGCCATATGGCATTTACATAAAAATTTTTATCCCATTGATAAGAATTAATGACAAATCAAGAAAGCACAACTGAAAATAAAATTCAGAGTAAATCAAGTTTAGTAGATATAACGAAGAATAGTGAAATCACACAAACAACTTCTAAGGAGACAAAACTGTCACTTCAATCAAAGGATTTTTTCACAAAGTAGGACTATTTTATTTTGGGAAAATTCCTTTACAGTGTGTACACTAAATTTTTTTTCATTATTTAGTGTAGGAGCAATTTGAAATCTTATATATATAAGTAAAAATGCTCTAACAAAATTTATATCAAGAATTTTTATAATATCTATAATATCCTTTTTTAGATATAATAGTTAAAATATTAAATTTTTATATAACATTAGTTAAATAAATTATTATAAAATTAAAAAGTAACAATCAAAACTCTCTCTATATAATTTTCTTAGTATTTTTTCATCAATAGAGGTGAATATATTTTGTTCAATTCCAAATCACTTGATATTTAAAATAAAACTTTTAATTAATTCAATTAAAATTTTAATTTAATTGAAATATTTCACTTTGATTAATTATAAAAGAACTTTTGATTAAAAGAAATTTATTAATTGAATGAGCCATATTTAAAAAAAAAAATCAAATTTTTGGTAAGCAAAAGTGAATTTTTGAATTAAATTCACTTATTAAAATAAAATTCATTAATCAAAATAACAAAAGATCAAAGAGAGAGTTTCACTTATTATTCTTTTTTAAAATTTTAATATTTATTTAACTAAAATTAATGAGTACTTAATATTTTAATTATTTGCCAAAAGAGTCCATTATAGACCTTTAAAAAATTTGTAATACACTTATGAAAAATTTAATCAAAGTCTTTTCACTTATATAATATTTAATATTTCACCTTCACTTAATTTGAAGAAGAAGTTTGATAAACCAACTACAAAACATTTTTCCTTTTTATTTTAATAACAATAAGATGTTGCCTGTATTTTCAATATAGAAAAATCATTTTGAGAAGAAGATAAAGACAAGTTTTTTATAAATCATAAGTGTATTGGAAACATAGACTTTCTAAAAAAAATATCTCTTAGTGAAAGAGTTTTATAATGAAAATATAGCTTTCATTTACAAATTTTTCCAACCATTGTCTTCTTTCTCTATTTTAAAATTTTCTCCAACACAATGTACTGCTCCTTTAACACAGACCAAACAATCTGTAAAATGTTTAAAAGTCTCTTACACTCTTGTCATTTGCTGAGATAGATTGACCCATCAAACATCACGACATCGCTGTGCTTTACCGGGAAAACATCCGTGGGTTAACACAACTAGAAAGTCCTTAATGCCAACATTAGGAGGTATATATGAATAGTCTTACAACTAGGTCCAAACTAGGATGAGTTGAGATCAAAACTTTCATATCAATTTATCAAAATCCAAAGATAAATTTTAATAGATCAAAAGTTCACAAAGAGACAAAGTAATAAATATTACTAATTGGTTTTGAACATATGTTAGAATTGTAAAGTTACAAGATCATGTAACGGCAAAAGATGCAAACTATCCTTAAAATTGTTATCACCTCAAATTTTCATTTTCAAAAAATCAACCAAGATTTAATGGTTACCGTTAACTTTTCATTATAATTTAAAAGCAATTGTCTAATGGAACTTAACAGAAATCATTAAATGTAAACCAATTTCTTGAAAATGAAAATTTTAAATGGTAAATTGTGTTAATATTTTTTTTTTCTAGGTGCTGATTTACTTCAATACAATAATTTTAGAAAACAATTTGCATATTTAGCCTCACATAACAATCTAATTATATTTATTTTTGAGGGTATTATAATAGTCCAAATTTTTTTTGAGCATTTAAGTTCTCAAGAAGGCTTACATGGAACAATTAATTGTGAATTAATAATTGATTAATTAACTAATTTAGGTAAGGAATGACTAATCTAAAAGGGAATTTTTAATAAGGAACCAAGTTGTCTAAATCTTCAACTTTGGGATGTTAGCAACAAAAAAGAGAGAGAAAGGGATGAAGTAATAACCTGAAGGGAACCCAACTCCCTTGGTAGGGAGTCTTCCTCCTCTTTTATTCTCAGCAAAAACCTACTTTGGGCCTTTTACCTTACTAAGCTTGTAGGTTTTAACCTTTCACCTTATACTATGACATTTTTAACCCATCACCTATTAGAATTGAAGAAAATAGCCTTTATTTTACAATATTTTATTAGTTTTGTTAACTGACTGTTAACTATGTTAGCTGAAAATAAGGTTTTGCTAGTTAACAGTCAATTAATAGAGTTAACAGTCAGCTAATAAAATAGTTCTGTTAGGTGACTGTTAATTCTATTAGTTGAAAGTAAGTTTTTTTCAGTTAACAATCAATTAAGAGTTAGTTAATAAAATTAACAGTCAGCTAACAGAACTAACAAAATATTATAAGTGAGGGCTATTTTATTTAATTATAATAGGTGAGGGGCTAAAAATATCATAGTATAAGGTGAGAAGTTAAAACTTACAAACCTAATAAGGTAAAGGGCTAAAAGTAGGCTTTTGCCTCTATTCTCATTCAGAAACCCTTAAAGCCACCAACCCCTCTAATACAACAATACCCTTCTCCCAGACCGCTTTCTTTCAAAATATGTTCCACTAGTTCAATTCAAATTTGTTTCCTCCACCAATTGATCATCATAGCAACTTGGATTCTCATGGGCATTGCTTGATTTTGACAATTTTTTAGGTCAGAATTTTCTCCAATTCTAGTAGACTTTGACACCCTTGTTACTTAGACAACGATTACAAATTGATGAGTTAGCCTCCTTTTTATTCAATTATGAGTGTTGATTTCTTTGCTAAGATTCCATTAAAATCTGTCTCGAAATCTCCTATTCTTGTTGCGCAAATTTTCTGTTGCAATTATGTTAACTTTTATTGAATTGGGCAATTTTTAAATGAGTTTTAGATTGATGATCTGGTCCAAGTAAGTACCATTCTGGGTGGTATTTTGAAAGATTTTAGGGGTTGTTTTATGAAGGAATGTTTTTGTTTTTTTGATACGTGCCTACCCCTCTCCAAGACGTGATTTCTCCACTATTTTGGTTGTCTTTGAGTTGCTTTTTTTTTTTTTTTTGTTGTTGTCTTGCCTAGAAAATCATGTTGACAAGCCTTTATTTTTTGCATTAAACTCCCTTATAAATTGCTCAATTATGTGCAAAAATTCTCCACTATTTCAACCTTTGTTTTGCTAGGTTTCAGTTAGATTTTAAACCCAAAAGTGTGCTTTATTGAAAGAAAATCAACATTTTTCTTGCTCTTGAACTACACTGTTTTTTAGCATGATTTGGACTAGGCTGCTGAAATTTTGAATTGACATCCTGTTAGTATTCAGATCATAACTTTCTTTATAGATGTCAGATTAAGGCGAATTTTGTTTGTATAAAAAGCTAAGAGATAGCCCTACTATTTATTTCTTGAACATTCAACCTAGTTCAGTTGTTATCAGGATGAAAACTCAGCTGCAAGATTCAGCTCCTGAGGGTGACTGGAATTGGTAGTCTGACCTTGTGTTAGTAATCTAGCCATAATGTCCTCTATAGATTTTGGATTATCATGATTATTGATCCTATAAAAAGCTAAGACATAGGGCTATAGTTGATTGTTTAGTAGATTTCTAGGTGCAATTCCAGTTAAAAGTTCTGGTTCAAGATCTGATCAGAACTTGCCCTTAAATTCTTTCTAATCTAGTGTCTAATTTTGCAATCCTTGGCTATATTCTTTGTCTTTGCTCTCTGTTTCTTAAATATCTTTGATGTCCAAATTCTTGGTTCTTGAGGAATCTTAATTCTCTACAAAGTGAGGTAAGCAAATTTACAGTCATGCCAATGGTTTTAAAAGTATATCTTGAATTGTTTTTAGGTGGTGGGAGGACCTAACTCGATTTATGTTGATATGAGCATGACATACTTTGATATTAAGTTTTAAAATTGTGATTGATTAAAGCTTGAGCATGACTTTTTAATGAGATATAACTATTGAAACAATCCAAATTATGTTTCTTATTAAAATGCCTGCATTGTTTGTCTCTAATTCTGTCATGATTCATGTTATCTTACTAGTGGGAGTGTAAACACTGGTTATTGATGTTATCCTGCTAGTATAAACACTAGTCATGACTAATTAAGGAGACCACTAAAAGATCTTATTATGCATTACTAGATTGAGATTGAAAGTACTGTTTTGATGCTCTGTATCTAGCATGATTTCTTTTAAATTAAAGTAAGGTCACCTATCGTTTACTTACTGAGTTATTTCACATTGATTTTTTCTTTTTTTGGTCCACCATTTTAGGTTACAAGACTTGAGACTTTGGGATCATGGAGAGTGTCGTGCTAGTTGGCTAGTTCGCCTATTAATGGATTGAGACTAGGTGTTGGTTTCATGCATAATTTAACTAAATTAGATTCAATTATAGATTTTTAGATTATGTAAGTTATCTTATTTTCTTTATAGTGGATTGTAGTGGACTATTAGAAGATATTGTTGTTGCTTAATTTCTTAAACAGGTTCTAAGCCTTGTACACTTTTGCGACCCATTCATCGGTGTATGACGGTTGTTTCGCTTTTGGTTTTGGGGCATGACAGTTACAAATCAACATCTAGTTATGTAGAACTTATACATCATTGTGCATCTTTTATTATTTTGCAAAAAGGAAAATAAATTTAGTGCATGTAATGATGATCTTGAACTTGAGGAAGGAATGGTTTCAGGCGGATAACATTTGGGAGATCGAGTACATGGTTTGTCGACATTCGGGATTGGCTTTTATGCATGAAGATGCCACCTTCATGATCAACCTCAGCTTGTCTTGGACTCCTAGCGATGGAGGTGGAAGCCTCTGATCTAAACCCAACACATCCTCTAGCAAAACATGTGTTTCCGAGAACGAAGACAACAGCAAAGAGATAACATCACCCGGATACATTCCCTTGATCACTTCTAGTGCTAACACTCCTAAGCTATACACATCACATTTCTTGATATCCTTCATTGTGTAGGCAAGCTCTACAAGGAAAAGAAAAACAAAGTTAATTACCAAATCATATGTTTATCTACCTCTAGGAGTTTTTAAAACATTAACTTGATTACCTGATGCAATGTATCCATATGTGCCAACGAGTTTAGTCTAGGAGGCTGAATCCATGCCAAGAAGCTTAGTAGTACCAAAGTCGAAAACATGAGCTTCAAATTTTGAGTCCAGCAGAACATTGTTGCTCGATATGTCTCGATGAATGATTGGTGGTGAGCTATCATGATGCATGTAGGACAAGGCATAGGCGATCCCTTTTACAACATTGATTCTCTTCTCCCAGTCAAATTCTTTTGCTGCTTCATGGTTGCTAAGGTTTGTGGCCAAGCTACCTTTTTCGATGCATGTAAATTAAAAATGAGTGCTTTGGAGCAACACAGAAACCATAGAGCTTCACAATATTCCTGTGTCGGATTTGAGTTAGTGCCCTTATCTCGTTCAGGAACTCTTTTTGATCTGCTAGTTCAATATCATCAAATAACAGGTGAAACTTTTTCACAGCCAAGGTATTCCCGGGCAAAAGTTTTGCTCTGTAGACGCTTCCTAATCTGCCTTTTCCGATGCAATACATAGAACTAAAATCCTTTGTTGAATTTATGATTTTTTCATGCAAGAACCTAACATCAAAGTCATTGGCTAATATTGTAAGGAGTTTCTCATCATTCAATCCACTTTCTTGTTTCTCAAGCGAATCTTTAGTCCTTTTGGAGCTGAAGAAGATTCCAATAACTGCTAATGAGAGAATCTGTTGGAGTTCAGAAGCAAGAAATAGAAGGTGAAAATCAAGCAGAGAGCAGAAATAGAGGAAAAACCAGAAAATAAACATAAAGAGGGAACATGAAGACCATACATGCTTCGGTCTTCTCTTTTTATTGCATATATATTTTGTACATTGATAGTAGGTGAACAACTTAACAAAAGATCTTGTACATATCATATTACAAGAAAAGATAAATTACAATGATATGTTTTTCACCTACTCCAACTAAAGCAAAATATAGTTCCATTTTGCTAAGTATCTAGTTAAAATTCAAGTCTTCAACAGAAACATCAATA